AGAACAAGTATTGTAGGGGGTCTGGCTGTTCATTAGAACATTTGAATGTACTGTATGTCTAATAAACAGCCAGACATACAGTACATTCAAATGTTCTAATGAACAGCCAGACACCATACAGTGCTTGTTCTGGTGAACATCCAGACATACAGTACTTGTTCGAATGAACAGCCAGACACCATACAATACTTGTTCTAATGAACAGCACGACACCATACAATACTTGTTCTAATGACCAGCAAGACACCATACAATACTTGTTCTAATGAACAGCCAGACATCATACAATACTTGTTCTAATGAACAGGCAGACATCATACAGAACTTGTTCTGGTGAACATCCAGACATACAGTACTTGTTCGAATGAACAGCCAGACACCATACAATACTTGTTCTAATGACCAGCAAGACACCATACAATACTTGTTCTAATGAACAAGTATTGTATGGTGTCTGGCTGTTCATAAGAACAATTACTTTTGATGTCTGGCTGATCACCAGAACAAGTACTGTATGTCTGGCTGTTCACCAGAACAAGTACTGTATGTCAGGCTGTTCACCAGAACAAGTACTGTACGTCTGGCTGTTCACCAGAACAAGTACTGGATGTCTGGCTGTTCACCAGAACAAGTACTGTATGTCTGGATGTTCACCAGAACAAGTACTGTATGATGTCTGGCTGTTCATTAAATCAAGTACTGTATGATGTCTGGCTGTTCGTTAGAACAAGTACTGTATGATGTCTGGCTGTTCATTAGGACAAGTACTGTATGATGTCTGGCTGTTCATTAGAACAAGTATTGTAGGGTGTCTGGCTGTTCATTAGAACAAGTACTTTTGATGTCTTGCTGTTCATTAGAACAAGTATTGTAGGGTGTCTGGCTGTTCATTAGAACATTTGAATGTACTGTATGTCTGGCTGTTTATTAGACCTATACTGGCAGTTAAGTTTTAGTGCCTGTGTGACCAATATTACTTGACAGAAATCTCACACTAAGTGTATTAGTTGATTCACATTCATAGAATCAAGTGGCGGTCATAACATCTGCATCATCAATTCTCCCAATACAGGAAATAGGCTTAGTTCAAAATGATTTCATCACGAAGTATTGCACAAATATTGTACTTGGTGGGAGTTTGTTTAGGCTCTCCTATAATGGTATGACATTGTATGCACACATGACAACATCTTCACTTTTGTTTTCTAGTAAACTTGATAAATTGATAAAAGAACAAACAAGAAATGTTTAAGAAACTTAGCAACATGCATTTTTACAATAGATACGACGTTATGTTACATACTTCATTTTATTAAAATCCCACAAAAATGTGTATTACTAGGAAGTGTAATGGTGAACTTTGACCTGCTTTCCACATTCTATCAGTTCTATGTGCACTGTCCAACAGCACACATTCATATCATGTACACCAGCCAGTGAGGGGACAACAGACACAATTCAGGTATTTAAACCAATATTACGTAAGATTACGATCAGTAATTGTAGAGTAAGAATTGTTTATAGTTCTGCTGAGAAATTCTCCCTATATCTGAGGCTATCGGGCAGCAAATCTTTTGTTAACACAGAAACATACGAGTGAACATGTAATATGAAATTACACCATCATACAGTTAAAATGAAGTTGTGTACGATTAGTAATCGACCAAGTATTTGTGTTAAAAGGAGACTCGGTTTACTACTGCCATTCAGACCTGTGTTTCTACACGAACAGACTGCTAGCAGTATGTGATATATTATACCTATAGGAACAACACTGGACATGTTTTTTTGCTGTGTGATTTCCACGGTGATCTGCCCAGAATGATAGTCAATGACAGGGTGATTTTTATTTCTTTAACCTAATTTACTCTACAAGTGTTATCTCTGGGTTTTCAGAGTGTGTGGGCGTCATGTTACAGACACACAGAATGTCAATGTCTTTATGGGTTTTCATACAATTAGAATGTTGCATGAAATAGATATTATCACCCCCTTTGGTGACATTTAGTAACATGTCATCAGTATCGATTATCATGTTACTGACTGCTTACATGCTGTGATACTAATATTCAAGGTCAAAACTGGAGGTCAAAACCACCAACCTTCACATAGAAATTTCAAAACTTGAATCTATAAATGTATTTAAGGACTTCATGTCTGTGTACACTACACTGTACCATTAGATCTGTATCAGACAGGTGTTTGTTTAATGTTCACAGGGGTAGGGGTGGGGGTGGGGTGGGATGGGGTGGGGGTGAAGTGATAGGTGTGGAATTTGAAGGGATGTTCTCAACCTTGTGAAAACTTCCCTTAAAATTTGACATGATTTTTTGGGGTGCAAGAAACATCAACATTTTAATCGAAAAACTATAGTTCTGACAACGTCAGAAAAAATCTTAGCCTTGCGCTCATTCGGTATTGATGATTGAGTTCCTGAACATCAGAAAATCTGCTCGATGATATTCAAACAGAATTCAGTTACATCCCTATCATAAATAACAAGTGTGATAGCTAACATAAGAGAACTGTGATGATAGCAATTATACTCACAGTATAATGGGTGTCAATCCTTTAAGACTTATAGTCAAACGTTGTGTTTATATATACAAACTTAACATTTTTCACCGTAACATTTAGCAGTCTTTATAAAGATGAAATGGGAATGTGTATACATGTATTGTGAAAAAAGTGTACCCTCCATCACCAATATGAAATCTGTTATCTATCCCTGTTTAAATATACATGTAGCTTACATCAAAGCAAGATTGATCTATACCAAGCTTAAGATTTTCTTAGAAATAACGACAAATGAAGGGGCTTGCCGTAAACAGCTTATAGATGCTATGCAGCCATGGGAGATTGTACTGTATGCACTGTGACATTCCTGCAGACAGGGACATTGCTGTGTTATATTACAGCCCTATAGCCCCCTAATAATGAGGCACCATGTGAGATTCCCCTGGGCAGCACTTGTCAGGGAGAGGCGACCCTGGTATATATACTGTGGCAGTGATACAAAAACAACAAGTATTTCTCTCCTTTCCTGTACAGTCTCATTTTAACACTTACATGATATATGTTCTTGGAGACATGCCCTATCCCTTTCATTTTGTGTTTAATCATGGACATAGCCAAATTCAAATAATCTTACAATGTTTTCACATTGTGTAGGGTAAACTTATTTATTGAATGCTGCATGTTTTACTAAATAATCTGTCAAAAACAATCTACATAACAACAGGGTCCATGAGATACAATGATAGCATCATTTAGCCAAAGGAAAAGGCAAACAAAATAAGAAAAAAAGTGAAACAGGCATTAAAGGAAAATGTCACTCTTAAGAAACATATGCAGTACATAATTTTGATATCAAATCAATTTTTATAAAAATGAAATAACTGAAATTTTTATTTTAGAACTTATTTATGTGTTTTCTTTACAATATTTTACGATGATTTTTTTCTGTAAAACATGTTTTAAATATGCCAGATATTATTCACATACTTGCTACAACTCTCCGTATTTAGGAGGGAGACTCACGATTTTAGACCCTTGAATTTAGTACTTTCAATTAGTTAGTTTGCTTAACTATCCCTATATTCTGAGATCTAATGATTTCATCTGAAAGAACAACTCAAAATATGCCATTTTAAAGGGTTATTTTGTCTCTAGGGGGTATATACACAATTTTATTTATGTTTTACTATTGAGCCTGCAGAATCTCCCCATGGAATTTTCAAAAAGTTGGCAATTATGAATTTAAATTCAAGCCATTTCAATATTGTATGGAATTCTCCATTGGAAAATTCTTGTACACAAAATATCTTGCACATAAAATACACAAATGTCTTTTGCTGCAGAGAGCACACACATGCTATCCAATACAGTGTCCAGTAGCTAGATTCATTGCCCTCCGGCGGTTCTGCTGACAGCACTGCACCAATACAGTGATACACATATATCAGTCCAAGTCTTACAGCTTCAGGATAAAGAGTCCATGGGTTGTACACCTCCAATTAAAGAGAGTTCCAATATGTTTGACATCATTCTAAGTTGAACTAGCTTGCCCATTAACTATATAAAGACACATGTATGCATTTTAAGGTCCCTTTTTACAAAAACATATTCTCAGCTTTAAGGAAAGTAAAGGGCTTTTCCACTGCATTATCAGAAGGAAAATAATATCAATATATCAAATTATAGTCACATTTTTTTTTATTTATTAAAAGGGGACACTAAACATGCAAAATCTGTAGTCTGAAAAACTCTTTCTGAATTTAGTTTGAAATTCATCAATATGGAATATCGTGTGGTTTAATGTAAAATATGATAGTGTTACCACATTAACAAAATCTTTGTTTATACATCTTATCCCACAAATTAAGTCTATATATCTAGGTGTACATATTCTAACCCTGAAATAAAGTTTTTCATTCATGCACCATATACCCCACAGATCAAATCTTTCTACCACAAATAATGTCTTAATTTACTACAAATAAAGTCTTTGTTTTCTATAAATCATTCCCTAAAGTGCATATAAGTAAATCTTTATTTATTTATAAATCATACTCCACAGCTGAAAAAGTTCAATCCAAGTGAACATCATGATAATGGATAAGAAATTAGATCTATTGGAGATTAAACACATGGTATATTTTGACATACCCGTATGTTGACCTGTTTGTTCATTATCATAAAACTATACCGGTAGTAGGGTAGGAGGAAATTTATAAAATTCTGTATACTAATGAAATGACAATTGTTTAAATTGTCATCTTATTTTAGTAGCATCGTGGAAAGATTGATTGCTATAAAGTGCCCTCAACAGCTGGTGGACTGCTCTCCTGTATGGATCACCGCTAAAACCTAATCTATATTTAAACATCTCTGATGACAATTCTTCTTTGATGTTATCATCAAAATGCAAATTAATATTACATCAATATTTCAATAACTGAAAGAGATTGAAATTTAATTGTAGCTGTCTTTGATTGTAGGAGATCGCAATACGGAACAGGCCACATTGGATGGTGACATCTGGTTGGACAAGATACACACAGGAAGTGGCCATACTGTTGTCACAGGGAGGAAAAGGTATACACAGGAAGTGGCCATACTGTTGTCACAAGGAGGACAAGGTATACACAGGAAGTGTCCATTCTGTTGTCACAGGGAGGACAAGGTAGACACAGGAAGTGGCCATACTGCTGTCACAGGGAGGACAAGGGAGACACAGGAAGTGGCCATACTGTTGTCACAGGGAGGACAAGGTAGACACAGGAAGCGTCCATACTATTGTCACAGGGAGGACAAGGTATACACAGGAAGTGGCCATTCTGCTGTCACAGGGAGGACAAGGTAGACACAGGAAGTGGCCATACTGTTGTCACAGGGAGGACAAGGTAGACACAGGAAGTGGTTATATTGGAGACAAATAAGACAGAGTATACACAGGAAGTGGTCTGGTGACAAGAAGGAAAGGTACATACAGCCCAGAACATCCCTTCAATCAATAACATTCCATTTCAACATTAAGACAACAGGTAACCTTGGAGTTTACAGATTGATCATGAACTGACTCAAAGAGAAATTCTTATCTCTCTCTCAGTCATTAACAAGTAATCAAAGTAACAATCACTGGCATTTTCATCAATGTGGCCTAGTCAAAATTACTCACTAATTCCTGAAAATAACCTTCAATATGATATCAATTCACCAATGAGGAGAGTTATCTCAGATTTCAGAGTTTATCTATGGACAGATTCTAGACAACATTGTGAGAAATCAATTGGTTTCTTTCTCTTGCTATCCTGAATGTTATTTACTATAAACACTTGGATGCGGAGAGAGGAGGTCACAGGAACCGTATGTGAAGGGCTATATTATTGTGAGCAAATAAGGCTACTGTGGAAGAGATGAGATCGCCTGCAGAAACAGCTGAACGGATGATTGTAGTGTCATAGGGATTGTGGACATAGATAGCAAAGTCCTCAGAAACGACTCATCAGCCACATCGCAAATGGCCGACATCTGATCCAGTGTCACAATTCAACATATAAAATGAACTCTTCACCATCTCTTAGAGCACATTACTGTAATAGGAAAACCATGTTGTCGCCTACGATTCCCTCATTAAACACTCAATAATCTCTATATATCACATACAGCTGACATGCTATAAAACATCATAGCTCTAAAATATAAAACCGCCTCTGGTTTCTGGAGACTATAACCAAAATACAATCATTCTTGGAAACTGATCATTTACCGGATAATATACAGATGTGATTCCTGTAAAACGGTGGTTGTTAATGTGGACAAAAGTGAAACAAGCTATACATTAGTTGTTAATGTGGACAAAAGAGAAACAAGCTATACATTAGTTGTTAATGGGGACAAAAGTGAAACAAGCTATACATTATTTGTTAATGTGGACAAAAGTGAACCAAGCTATACATTAGTTGTTAATGTGGACAAAAGTGAAACAAGCTATACATTAGTTGTTAATGTGGACAAAAGTAAAACAAGCTATATCTTAGTTGTTAATGTGGACAAAAGTAAAACAAGCTATACATTAGTTGTTAATACTAAGGACTGTTACGTAAAACAAGCTTAGTGATTACAGATTCCTGCCATGATGTTTCCTATAGGAAATGACAGTGTATCTATCCATCTAAATCAGAGTGAGACCAAAATGGAACTCTACTCTATTGTGTTGTCAACAACCATGCTGTGTCTGGCGATGGTGTTCGGTACCGGAGGTAATGTTACACTGCTTATGTCACTGTGTACCTACCGACTGCTAAGGAAACACCACTACATTCTCATCGCCATCTTCCTCATCACCTGCCTCATTCTCGATGTCATCTGGTGCCCAATGGAAATCTATCATCTAATCCAACATCACCATGACAACAGTGCAGTAGATGCAACCTTCACCTTTGCTGGACAAAGTCTTTACATTTTTCTCATCACCACAATTCTGTGCATTCTTTCAATTGTGAGCATTCAAAGTTTGTGTAAATTGTCATCAAACTGGATTTCCCGGCACATTGTCCTGGCTCTGATCACAGTCATTAGCCTGATCCTGGTCCTCTGTCTGGCCGTGGGCTATGGGGTGTTGTCATCTTATAGCGAGGGTAACACCAAACCCACAGAATACCAGATTCTCAATGAGGAGTCGTACAACTACAGGATTGCTGTCTACAGCTTCTCGTTGTGGATGGCTATATCATTCGCAATGCTAATAACTCTTGTAATCTGTAGGCGTAAAACTGCTAAAGATCTCAGTGTCGATATTGCGTCCGAGTACTCAGAACCACCCACACCCGAACAACTGAACATTCCAACGCTTCTCATTAAAGGGTCAGAGGAGGAAGGCAGTGACAATGAAAAGGATGAGGACAAAAAATCTATTTCAAACTCTCAAAGATTCCTCAGTTTACAGGGTGCCACATCAACCAAGGAGGACAACATGTCCACTGTGGGTGAACTCCCCTCACCCTCAATGCCCAAGATCTCCAGTAACCACTTAGGGGTCAACATGGCTGCTATATTAGGTAGGAGACGTCACACCATTGGTCAGATTGGCCCTACAGGCCTAGATGTGGGCGGGAAAAACAAACAGTACAATTATGTTAGAAAGTTCTCGGTTGATATACAAGCACTCCAAGCACAGCTTGAAAATCCTAAAATGTACGGAGGGACAATTTCATTTCGTTCAGACACTGAACTGCAAAAATCATCTCAGAATGAAAACAAAATGGAATTACCTCAGAGACCCCACACACCTTTGCTGGACATGAGACTTACAGGAGTTCATAAAATACAGTTAGAGGAGAAAAACGAGGAGGATTCCATGGAAGAGGAGGAAAATGCTGATAAAGTTGATGATGTGAGCAACAAAGAGGAGGATATAGAAAATGCAAACCACATTTGTGAAAAATTACAAAACTCTAGTCATGAGACACTAAGTCCACCGATCATAACTCTATCCGAGACAACTGGGGACGAACTCAATGAACCTTTGGCAAACAATAGGTTTAACAAGGGGACCAGTCACTACAGACTGACCTGTCTCCTACTAGTGACTTTTGTGTGTTGTTTACTGCCCATGTTCATCACAGAGGCTGTACGAGAACTGTTGTCCCAGCGGGCGTACGTTAACATTCTCACTTGCACCATGTCGCTGTCCGTGGTACAGACCATCATATTCCCTCATATTCTCTTCTGTATGGATAACTTCACACACATAGCTGTACACACCTTCTTTGGTAAAGTACACGGACAGGTAATGCACATGTGCTATGGACACCATCAGGTACCAACGTCCGAGCAGGTGGACATCACAGTCACACAGGTGTGATCGGGACACAGGTGTGATCACAAAAGGTCTAGTGTAATCAAAAATATCTATGTGCAACCTTCGTTGATATGGACACTTATGGTTGTATTGGCAGGGGAAGCTTGTTAATCGGGACACACGATTCTTGTTGATAATGGACCATTTTTTTATTTAGACACTTCAGTTTTTGTGGATGGAAGACCCTTCATAATCTGTACACTTCAGGACACTGCATAGTAGACAGTTGTAAATTGTCTAAATTTTAAGAATAAGGATTCTATGGCATTAATAAGTGATATTTGCTTTATGTTGGGACATAAAAATGTTCCTGGACTTGAAGATTCTGGAAATTATTTTCTATCCTGTCTATAGGAGCCCAGGTCAAAGAGGGTTCTTTGTATGTATATTAATACATAGAACATGTATATAAAATACATTGTAGTGTAACTGAACAATTTATAACAAATCTTCCTTAAGGTAAGGGGGCACCACAGCATCAGTCATTATCATGATTTCCACTCAGATTTGTTTTGCCTGGAGTAGTCTCCCTTCCATATAAAAGATGAAACAACCCAAGAGAAGTTTTTCTGGCTAAAAGTAACTTCTCCTGTAAATTTTCAGCTGTTATAGGCTTCATAGCCCATAAATCGGACACCCATTATGACGCTATCCAAGTATACTTCCTAGACGGAAACATTGATAAAGCGTGGGCTTTGTAATATGGCGGTCCTATAATTCTGTAAAATTTATTACAACATCATTTTTATGTGTTTTTTTTTTTTTTTTAATGGTTAAAACGAATACTTCACGATATTGACAACAGTGACATATAGTATAGCATGTTGGTACCCTTTACCTTAGTGGAAAAATATAATATTTCACTCCTAGACTGAAGTGAAATTATTTTCAGACTTAACCAAAGGTTGGCTGATGTTCATTCCTCATGTTTATTATTTTCAGAAAATGGAGAAATTTTCTTAAGATTTGTTTTTAGAGTTATGTACAGTTAATACATAAAATGGATATTGTAAAAACCAGAGTATATATATAAATGTTGATGTCATGTTCTGTCTATAAAGCTTTTTAGCTAAATATTTAGAAAATATCATGAGTTGTCATTTTTTCAGTTTCACTGAATGGTCCTAATATACAGTTCAGACTACTGACCATTGCATACTCTGGTGGTCCTAATATACAGGTCAGACTACTGACCATTACATACTCTGGTGGTCCTAATGTACAGGTCAGACTACTGACCATCACATACTCTGGTTGTCCTAATATACAGGTCAGAATACTGACCATTACATACTCTGGTGGTCCTAATGTACAGGTCAGACCACTGGCCATCACATACTCTGGTTGTCCTAATGTACAGGTCAGACCACTGGCCATCACATACTCTGGTGGTCCTAATGTACAGGTCAGACCACTGACCATTACATACTCTGGTGGTCCTAATGTACAGGTCAGACCACTGACCATCACATACTCTGGTGGACAGACCACTGACCATTGCATACTCTGGTGGTCCTAATGTACAGGACAGACCACTGACCATTACATACTCTGGTGGTCCTAATGTACAGTTCAGACTACTGACCATTACATACTCTGGTGGACAGACCACTGACCATTACATACTCTGGTGGTCCTAATGTACAGGTCAGACCACTGACCATCACATACTCTGGTGGACAGACCACTGACCATTGCATACTCTGGTGGTCCTAATGTACAGGACAGACCACTGACCATTACATACTCTGGTGGTCCTAATGTACAGGTCAGACCACTGACCATCACATACTCTGGTGGACAGACCACTGACCATTGCATACTCTGGTGGTCCTAATGTACAGGACAGACCACTGACCATTACATACTCTGGTGGTCCTAATGTACAGGTCAGACCACTGACCATCACATACTCTGGTGGACAGACCACTGACCATTGCATACTCTGGTGGTCCTAATGTACAGGACAGACCACTGACCATTACATACTCTGGTGGTCCTAATGTACAGGTCAGACCACTGACCATCACATACTCTGGTGGACAGACCACTGACCATTGCATACTCTGGTGGTCCTAATGTACAGGACAGACCACTGACCATTACATACTCTGGTGGTCCTAATGTACAGGTCAGACCACTGACCATCACATACTCTGGTGGACAGACCACTGACCATTGCATACTCTGGTGGTCCTAATGTACAGGACAGACTACTGACCATTACATACTCTGGTGGTCCTAATGTACAGGTCAGACCACTGACCATCACATACTCTGGTGGACAGACCACTGACCATTGCATACTCTGGTGGTCCTAATGTACAGGACAGACCACTGACCATTACATACTCTGGTGGTCCTAATGTACAGGTCAGACCACTGACCATCACATACTCTGGTGGACAGACCACTGACCATTGCATACTCTGGTGGTCCTAATGTACAGGACAGACCACTGACCATTACATACTCTGGTGGTCCTAATGTACAGTTCAGACTACTGACCATTACATACTCTGGTGGTCCTAATGTACAGGTCAGACCACTAGCCATAACATACTCTGGTGGTCCTAATGTACAGGTCAGACAACTGACCATTACATACTCTTGTGGTCCTAATATACAGGTCAGACCACTGGCCAGCACATACTCTTGTGGTCCTAATATACAGGTCAGCCTACTGACCATCACATACTCTGGTGATCCTAATATACAGGTCAGACTACTGACTATTACATACTCTGGTGGACAGACCACTGACCATTGCATGCTCTGGTGGTCCTAATGTACATGTCAGACCACTGACCATCACATGCTCTGGTGGTCCTAATGGACAGGTCAGCCCACTAGCCATAACATACTCTGGTGGTCGTAATGTACAGGTCAGACCACTGACCATTACATACTCAGGTGGTCCTAATGTACAGGGCAGACTACTGACCATCACATATTCTGGTGGTCCTAATGTACAGTTCAGACTACTGACCATTACATCCTCTGGTGGACAGACCACTGACCATCACATACCCTGGTGGTCCTAATGTACAGGGCAGACCACTGACCATCACATACTCTGGGGGTCCTAATGTACAGGTCAGACCTCTAGCCATAACATACTCTGGTGGTCCTAATTTACAGGTCAGACCACTGACCACCACATACTCTGGTGGTCCTAATGCACAGGGCAGACCACTGACCATCACATACTCTGGTGGTCCTAATATACAGGTCAGACCACTGGCCATCACATACTCTTGTGGTCCTAATGTACAGGTCAGACCATTGACCATCACATACTCTGGTGGTCCTAATATACAGGTCAGACTACTGACCATCACATATTCTGGTGGTCCTAATGTACAGGTCAGACCACTGACCATCACATACTCTGGTGGTCCTAATGTACAGGGCAGACCACTGACCATCACATACTCTGGTGGTCCTAATAAACAAGTTACGTAATGTTACACACATCAAAAATATTTCATATCTGTATTAAATACTACATCTATTTTTGCTGAAATATATATGAACATAAACACAATTCCATTTCCCTGTACTCCGAGGTCAATGATTCTCTGCATGTTTAGGATATAATCCAGATTGGACTTTACATTATAGCTAAACCATGCAGGTTTGGAATAAAAACAGGTTCTATTATGATGGCCCCAATTATCATAAATACCATGTACAAGGATAGGCAAATGTTTACTCTCAAAACATTGTTGGCCTGCTCATCAGTAGCCAGTATAAGGTACTTGGATGGCCATTATAGGTACTCGGATGGCCAGCTCACAATAATGTAGGATATTTCACATAGCCTGACAATTGTATACAGGTACATGGTTATTTTTACTGTATCTCTCACTTGGATATTCAAGCTATCAATCACAAGATATTCTGATTAAATCAATACTGCAAACCAACATGCTACAGACCAATATCATTACCTCTTGTTGATCTTGGCATCCATCATCGTAAGATCTTCATTGGTTCTGTAGTAGAATGAGGAATAGTGATAAAGATAGTGCCGTCCCTGGGGCTCGGACCCGTGACCCTAGGCTCTCCAGCCTCACACTCTCTCTCTGGGCTAAAGGGAAGTTCCCTACAGCGACGCTTGTAAGACAACCTAATCAATACACATCTTCTACAGTTCTTTGTCAGTTTGAACTTTTCACTCCTCTTATCTGCTGTATCAAGTCTTGTCATTAGTAAATACAGCCATTTCGGATTGATGGTATACAAACTCCGAACAAACGGTATATCTTTACAATATTTCTTTGAAGTTGGGATGCTACTATATTTCCCGAACTTCAAAGATTTACTGTTCGGAGTTTGGATACTATCAATCCGGAATGGCCGTATATGAAACGGTAATTTTTTTATCATAAGTTTCATAATGATGGGTTTGTAACAATGTCCTTTTAAAGTAAGGTCATCGTTCATTATTAACTTTTGAGAAATAGTAATAACAAACTTGAAAACTCAAAATCAAAGATGATTGCCTGGTGATCATCTGATTTTTCTAATCAGTCCCAAAATGAAACACGTACAACTTTGGACCAGGGGGAACTTTCATATGAAATTTAAGATAGACCTGTCAGGCACTTTTTGAGAAATAATGATAACAAACTTAAACTTTCAAAATCAAAGATGGCTAGCCATCTTGTTTCTCTGATTTGTCTCCAATTGAATCATGCAACCAAGCACCAAGAGGAACCTTGATATGAAATTTGCAGAAAATCTGTCAAGTACTTCTTGAGTAATTAAGCGATAACAAGAATTAAGGACAGATCATGGGCCACAGATGACAGGTGACTAATTAAAGCTAAAAAAATAATCTTTAAAGATTTAAACACATTTGATTCTTATGACCTCGAAAAAAGGCAGAGGTCATTTAATTGTAAAAGCTTTATAATATTTACTCCCAGCATGCTACTTTTTAAACAGGATTACCATGAGTGTCCCAATTTTTTAGAAGTCATTAAAAGGTATATGAACCCTGCCACATATCACAAAACTGGTCCTTTTGGTTGTTCAGAGAAAGCTGTTTAATTTTTGTTTACATATTTTACCCCTTTGACCTTGAATGTAGTTCAACTTCATTCATACCAGTATGCTACAGGCCAAATATTATTACTATTTGCCTCTTGGTTATTAAGCAGAAGTTCTTTCAATTCATTTAACCCCTGTGATCTTGAAACTATTAAGTCAAGGTCATTTATAAGATAAATCTTGATAGCTCTCTTGTCAGAGCATGCTACTGGCTAACTATTATCACCCTCAGGGCCTCTTGGTTATTCAGAATAAGATATTTAAATGTTTTTACCAACAGATATTTGATTGACCCTGGTTGACATTTAAAGCAGGTTTGAAGATCATTTATTCGAGGAAACTTTATAGTACTCAATTCCAGGTTCCCAAATGTACAGGCCAAATATCATGACCGTAAGTCAGTCCTCCAATTTCAAAACAGTGATGGGCATGTGAGGAAAAATAGCCATTTCTGCTGTATCTGATTTCTACTAGACTTTGGATAAACAATTTCAAAATTTCAGAAAAATGAACTCAATAAGTTTAGTTTGATACCTCAGGGACAGGATTTCAGGAATGCAGTCTTAATTAGCTTTCATTGATGGATTGACCAAAAATGTAAGGACAGTCAGTTTATCTGTTCTGCGAAATTGGCCCTACAGAATTGAATTTTATATTTGAGATAGGTACTCAAAATGTACGAACAGGTGGCCATATTTGATTTAGGATTGAAAAACAAGAAAATTCATTAAACTGGTATCTCCTTCCTCAGGACAATGATGTATGAAGGTTTTCATTATTGAGGTTCGGTGCAGATATACATACTACATAGTGTAAAATGTATCAATACACATAAGCCTGCCAAATTTGGTTGTGATCTAACCATAATTACTGGGCAAGTTACATCTCAGAAACCAATTAACCAATCAGAACCATTAAGTGACCTCATTTAAATATGTGTACACATATACTCATCAGAGACATCAGAGCTAAAATTGGGCATTATTTTGGTTAAAATCAAGTCATTTTTAGGGAAAATAA